CATCTCTATTTGTCAGGGTTTTAAATTCCACTGGAGATGCAAAAAGATTAAACTAACCCAGCTTGTTTTTGCTGACAACCTCTTCCTTTTTTGTTTTAGGGATTTCAGGTCTGCTAGCTTACTTAAGGAAGGCTTGGACTTGTTTCAGCATATGTCTAGTCTTCAAGCTAACCCCAGAAAGAATAATATTTTTTTGTCTTCTGTCACCAATGTGGTGAGGGTCTCTATAAAGACTGTTTTTCGGTTTGAGGATGGGGAATTGCGTATCAAATATTTGGGTCTTCCTCTTATTTCTTCTAGGCTTAAAGCTGCCCATTGTCATTCTCTTCTTGAGAGAACGGAAGTTAGGAACAATAACTGGACCAATTGAAGCTTGTCTTACGCAGGAAGGCTCCAACTTATTCATTTTGTGTCGTTTAGTTTATAGCTTCACTAGGCATCTCACCTGAAACTTCCCCAACAACTTCTTGACAAGGTTGAACAGCTTTTAAGAAGGTTTTTGTGGAAGGGTACTGAGCTCATCAACTCTGGTGCTAAGGTTGCTTGGAGTGATGTTTGTAAACCTAAAGAGGAGGGTGGTTTAGGTATAAAGAATTTGAAGCAGTTTAATGATGCTTTAATGCTCAAATATTTATGGCAACTTATTACGGATAAACAGAATATCTAGTGTATGTGGATTCATTCCTATCACTGACATGGTAAAAGTCTTTGGGAGGCAAAACCATCACAATCTAGCTCCTGAAATTGGATCCAAATGCTAAAGCTCAGGGACATCATCAAACCTCACTTGTTGCATATTATAGGGAATGGTTCTAATACTTCCTTATGGTTTGACAATTAGTACACGAGTGGACCTTTATTGGGTGCATGGAACCAGCAGCACATCTTCAACACATCAAGACTTCCTAAGGATGCCAAAGTGTCTATGATCATAAACAACAATCATTGGACATGGCCTATGGGTAGATCTAGGGTCTTGGATGATCTTAGTCGCTCTATGTCCAATTACTCACCAGATTCTACAAAGGAAGACTTTATCAAATGGACCCCCAAGTTGGATGACAGGTTCACCACTGAATCTGCATGGAACACCATTAGGATCCAAAGCCCTAAAGTGCCTTGTACAACCTGGTATGGTATGGTCATCTTATACCTAGAATGAGTCTCATTCTTTGGTTGGCTATTAGAAATAGATTAAATACAAAGGATAGGATCTCATCTTATACACCACAAGTGAACACTACTTGCGTTTTGTGTCAACAACTCCTAGAATCTCATCATCATTTGTTCTTTGAGTGTTCTTATGCTTTTGGTATTTGGACTCAGCTGTTGCAACAATGTTTCCAACTTCCTCAAGCTCTCCAATGGAATGTCTTCATTGCCTGGGCTAGTGTTAAGTGAAAAGGAAAATCTTTGATGGTTGTTCTCCTCAAGCTCTGCCTCTCTGTCATTGTTTACAACTTATGGAGGGAGAGGAACAATAGGATTTTTAACAATCGGGTTACTTCTCAACAGAGTTTGCTTTTCAGAATTCAGTCAACTATCAGAGAAAGACTTTCCCTTCTTAAATTCAAGGCTAATCGTCAGAACCTGTGCTTAGTGCATCAATGGAACCTCCCCTCTGTTCTTGTTTGACTATTTTTCGTGCTCTTCTATTGCCCTGTGATGGTTTTGTGCTGGACTGTCTGCTTGATGTTTGGTTTGGCTGTACTATGTTGGGCTGTGTTTGTTTATGTTGTGCGGTGCTGGGCTGCTTTGCCTTGTTTTGTGTTGGCTGTCATGGGTGTTGTGCTCGACAGCTTTTTGTGCTATGCAGGTGCTGTGTTTATTGGTTTTGTTTATAAGTGTTGTCCTGCTAAATGTGACGGGTTGAATGTTAAGGGACTGAATATTGGGTTTATTTATGTGTGATGTCCTGCTGGTTAATCAGGTGACTGTGACGGGCTGTTTTGCCTTGTCCAGGGCTGGCCATATGGTTCTAGTATCTGTGATGTGGCTTATCACTGGTGTTATGGGGCTGAATTATTGGATTCATTCTCTGTTTTTGTCTTCCAATGTATTCTTGTTTACAAGTCTGTGGGACATGTTCTTACTCTGAACATCTGTTACAGACTTATGTTTTGAGCCTTGACTTTTTAGGTTTGTTTGATGTTTGTCTCTGAGTCCTACGTGACTTCATTGTACAATTGGTGGGTGATTACCCGTGAATATCTGTTTTATTTTAATACATTTTACATTCCGAAAAAAAAAATTATTATGCAATATATATGGCGTAATTAAACATGGCTTATGTAATTTGAGCAATGCTCTAACCTAATATGCTAGCACGAATATAAATCATATCAATTTTTTTTCTCTGAATCCAATTCGAATACTGAAAATTTATGTTCGAACACAAGACGTTTTTGGATTGAGCTTAGGTTGGGCATGTACCATTAAATGTCTAAAGATATGTTGCCAAAGAAAGGATTAGACAATCCATGGTCAAACTAGGCCCTCTTGGGGGTGTTTAGTTTATTCATGTAGTGGAAGTGAACTTCATATTATAATAGCCATCACATCTCATAAAGATTACCCCAACTCCCTCCCTCCCTCCCTCCCTCCCTCCCTCAATAGCATGCATATTGGCATGTATTTTTAAGTTACGTTTTAAAATTATATGCGTCCATGAAAATCTTTTGTAGGATTTGGATGCTAGTAACTGAAGTATATCATTTGGAATTTTGTATGGGAGGTAAAGATACTTCGACATTTAGAGGAGAGAGACTTGAGAAAGACATTTGTGGTCCATTAATATTTAGAAATATCCTACTTTATCTAGAGTCCAAATTAATGTTATGTGTATCATGGGTCGATTTGGTATGTGGTATAAATACAGGCATGTAATATGATGCATCTTATGATACGTGGCGTGGTGGGATAGATTTAATTGGTAAGCAGTTTTGGGTTGTGGTTCGTTTTCTGTAAGATCATTTTCTCTATTATATGAGATTATACATAATTATACATTTATATACACATAATTAACTGATATTGATTTTGAGATTCGAGGTATAAATTGAGGTCGAAAATTTAAGTAATTTGAATCGCAAAGTCATCCCATTTTGAATCGTATGACCCCAATTAATTCTTGAGACAGTAGAGGTATCTACGGGTATCTATGGTCCGAATCATCTAAAGATCGGGTGAAATTTGCAGTGTGAATAGATGTTGATCACTGCCATGTCTCAGAAAAAACATTTGACAAGATTCTAAATCCTCATTGTTTAGTAAATATCTATTAGTTTTAAGTTTACTTAAACATGTTGGTCTTATTTTATTTTATTTTTCCTGAAATAATAGGATAATATTTGTCTTTGAGGCACAATCAATGAAAGGGAATTAAACTTAACAACTGTAACCAAAGCTTTCCATGGTCCCCATGGGGACAGAAGATCATTTAGAAAAGTGATCATGTAGATTCAATGAACTTAGCCCTTGTTTTATGTACTCGCATAGATGCAAAATGTCATAAACCCCAACAGTCCTTTCACTAGCATGTGCTCATGGGCTGGTGACTTTTGTGAAGAGTTCCAATGAAGAAAATCTTGCAAGAGAGGTCCCCGTCAAGATCCCCTAATAGACTCAGACATCCCATGGTAAAATCCAGATCTCCTACATTACATTTTTTTCATCAATAATCAACAATTTATGGTATCATCATTTAACTTAGAGGCCTCTAAGACATATTAATCATAGTGTCACAGAACAGTATTGGTCGACATAACCTTAAAGAAAAAATTGAATACATAATGAAAAATTCATGTCATATCGTGAAACTGTATTGATTGATTTAGAAACGATAATTTAACAACTCGGGTTCACTCAGATATCAATCAACCGAGTCGTATATTATACGTAACGTGAAATGATATCGACTTGAAAGGTGTGAAATTAAATACAACTCAGTCAACGGTATCAACTTGCATGAGATTTTGCATCGAAGGGAAATGTTCCCACTTCCGTAACAACTGGAGTATACAGTGATACATTTATAAACTGATCAAATGTAGTATATTATAAATAGTGGTAGCAACTTGCATTGCATGTTTTTATATATACCTCACTACCTGTGTCGCTTTCCGAATTCCTCGGACATAATTTTTTTCTGGATAATGATTATCACAATCATGTAGCTTTCGCATTGTCAAGCATATAAGCATCAAAGGAGTTTGTGTGTGTGTGTGTGTGTGAGAGAGAGAGAGAGAGAGAGCTCCAAAACCTAGTCCAAACTTGATGCAGACAAATCCAAAAGATCACAAAATCTCTCAAAACAACAATTTCGTTACTTATTAACGAGCCGTGACATATTTTGTCCCTATTACTTAACGGTGGTAAAATATGTAATGAGCAATGCTACATGGAGTTAAAAAGTAGACTTAAAAATTAGACTTAATGATCTTAACCATTGATTTTACTGTGAGTTCCAGTATTTTTTAGAACGAACTATCAATTCAATAGTTGAGATTATCAAGTCTAATTTTTAAGTCCCATCTAGTATTACTCTTATGTAAATTACCTAATTTCTGGTGGTAATTTGGTAATCAAGATACTATATATATATATATATATATATATATATATATATATATATATATATATATATATATATATATACTAGTCATAACCCGTGTGACGTAATAAAATATAAAATTCGAACGTCCGAAAAATCGATTTCATTATATTAAATTTTTTCAAAATATATGATAGAAATTAATTATGTGATATTTTTAAGGAGAAAATATATAAATGATTAAATATGTGATAGAAATGAGTTATGCGATTTGATTTGACGTTTGAGTCTGACAAAGGGATGATGGGTGAGGTAAGTGGTTGGTGATGATTTTGAAAAAAAAAATATGACTGAGATAAAATTCAAATATATTCCTATTTTATTATATAAATATCCATTTGAGCAAGACAACCATCCACCCACCCCCGCCCCCCTCCCCGTCCCGCGGACAACAAAAAAATGGCAGGCCCATCTTATTCAAAATACGTTCATCCTCTTCATGTTTTCTACACGAAGTTAACATCTTCCACCTTAAGCCCCATGAAACTCAAAACCCGAATTCAGACCTTCATCCTCTCACACTTATGCCGAATTGCGCGTGTTCTCACCAAAGCAAAATCCATCCTAATTGAGATTCTGAACGAAATCCGATCCATTCGATTCATTCAATCACTCATTGAAAGCAAGAGAAAAAATAAACACTATTTTGATCAACGTAGGTTGCACTACAATTGGTGCTCTTCTCATGTGATAAAGGGGTACTCCACGAGCCATGTATATTATGAGTCTAAGTGGAACACTGTTACGTCGATGGAGAGAGATGATGAAGGGGAGTCACAGCTTTCGGAATACGTACACTGGCTTGAAGAGAAGGTTCATTCTGATTCTGCTACTGATGAGATCGATCGGCTTGCGGATATGTTCATTGCAAGCTGCCATGAGAAGTTCAGGTTGGAGAAAGTAGAGTCCTACAGGAGATTCCAAGAAATGATGGCTAGAAGTGTCCGAGGGTTTTTCAACTCTCTCTCTCTCTCTCTCTCTCTCTCTACTCTTTCTCTTTGTTTTATTGCTTCATGGTTGGGTTTGGAGAATTGTACATGAATGGGGTTTAGGGACATATAGGTGCAATTTTTCTATTTGGCATGTATGTATATATATGTGCAACTTGCAAGGTTATACAATGGTCGAATTACGTGGTTGATTTTCAAATTCCTTGAGATGAGTCTCTGCTCAAGGAGCTAAAGTATTTTCACAAACCCTTACATTTGTGCTAAGTGTAACTAGGGACCACAAACAAGATATAAACAGAAGAGAAAATTTTTATTTCTCTCTGAAAATAAAGTACATAAATTTTCTCATATGAGATCTCTTCGAATCTCTTCTTCTTTCTCCTAATTTTTGAACATGTTCTCGCCTTCACTAAACTTCGAATCTATAGGGAGTTTCTGGCAAAAAAAAAATATCAAAAAACGACGAAATCCATTTAATGCACCGACGATCTATGTCAAGAATTCTGGTCGTCAAGCCGTCAACAGAGATGGCTATTAGGGTAGGCCACTAGATGGAGCTGGAACCTTCACCAAGTACTCCATTGTCCATAGAATTGCATACTGTAAAGAGAATTGCCCTCCCTTCCAACACAAACAGCAAGTACTGTGAAGAGAAGTAGTCCACCAATTAACTCCCTCAATAAAAAATACTGTCAAACCTGTCCAGTAATATATGTGGTTGTTATCCACTTCAATATTTTTATTAAAATATTCTCTTTGTAAATAAAAACATAATAAAATTAGAGTAACTTATCCAAATACCCAATTCCCAATAAGTTCAAAATTAGGCTATTTTTTATTTTCAAGTATTTTTAATAGATTGGGTAGACTTACACTTCTATTTGCCATTTCAACTGCAACTACAAAACGTACGTTTTTTGACCATGTTGGTTATCAAAATTAAGCTTCGTAACAGGATAAATGATAATTTTCCTATACACTAACTCACTTTGTACATAGAAAAAGATAGCAAAAAGTCTATTGCACATTTTCAATCATAGATGTATTTGGTGATTGAAACGAGCGTCGAGCATAACTTTGATAGACGACTAAGTGAAAATGTTTTAAAAACTATTCTTCTAGTTCATCTTTTTCGTTTGTGTCTTTGTTTCACTTCATTAATTATTGTAGGAAATAACTTCACCACTTTATTATTAGTGATAGTAATAATAACTAGAAATGACATGATCGATATTAAAATATTATGATTAATTATAGAAGTTATATCTTTTAAAAATCAAATTATACTTTTTACAAGTAAAGTTACATCGGATCTTGGTGAAATAAGAATTGGTTAAAATTATTTATGATCGATCACAATTTTTTATAATTGATCATGAATAACTTCAATCAATTGTAACTTCATCTTTAAAACGTGTAACTTAACTCATAAAAATAATAATTTTTTATATAATATCAATTTTTTGTTTTTTTTGATAGTAATGTTATCCTTAAAATAGTGGTTTCTCTCATGACCTAAGGTTAGACAAAAGTCCGCCGAACAGGGCCCCCTTATTGAAAAGGGCCTTTACTAAAGAAAAAGGCGACAACACTCTTTTATTGAAAACTCAAGTTTTGCTTTTGATCGATACATTTTTTGACAACCTTATTAATAGAAAGGAAAAAAAAATGCATACTATTTTTCTAAAAATTTCAATTCTGGTTTGTTTAAAAGCCCATTAAGTACAACACGAAGGACAGATTGTGGGTTAGTTTTTCGCTGTCAAACGGGCATGTTGATCCGTCAATAACCCAACAACCTGGTCTGCAAACGGGCAGAGGCTTGCCCGGCCCGGCCCAGTTCGTTTCCGACCTTATCCTCACCCATGGAAAATAATGGACAGTGTGTGAACAGAATAATTATTCAACGTCAGCTTATTCGAAGGTAAGGTTTTAGTGGGAGAATGATTGGCACCCCAAACAGTCCCATCACAAGTACTTCTTTGTTCTTCTATTCTTTTCTTAGTTCTTACACAACCAAAACATGCTAAGAATGTCTAAGTATGTGTTCGCTCTTCAATTATAGTGTCTATCCACCCACCAAGAACATAAAAAAGTGGGGTTTGTGAGATTTCCTTTCAGGAATTTGTCCTTCCATGAAGCATGGAAACATCGTATAATTTTAAAAAATAACTCAAGTAATAACAGCGATGAATCGTAAATTTAAATATTTTGAGTTTAAATCATGTCAACCATTTGGTATTAGGTTATAAAGAATTTATCCTTCATCAATATCCTATTTATGGCTTAAATGACTTATTTTTTACCGAATCGTAAAAAAAATTAGTCGAAATGTACGTAAATTGACCAAAATACTCCGAAACGTTGACTAAAAAACTAAGAGAGATATCATATAAAACCCAGGAACAAAAGAATAATCCTTGTTTTGAACATCTTTATCACAATAGATTAGAGTGGCAATGCGAAAATGGAGACCATAGTGGGCACCATTTGAGGTCCTTGTCAACTGGACTTGGCGAGAGAGAGAGAGAGAGAGAGAGAGAAGCCAGTGAAGTGGGTTTCACAAATGTGATTCTCGAATCAGATTCAAAATTTCTTTCAAGTTGTCGTTAAAAAGCCAGATAGAGGGAGAAGTTCAAGGCTTAAGTACAATATATTTGCCAAACAGTAGCTGTCGAACTATTGGAAATAGGAGACAACATTGCTGACACGGCTGGGGGAAAAATACTGGCCGTAACCGTTACATCGATTAATAATAAGATAACATATGAACTAGTAGATCTCACATATTCTAGCAATTAACTTATTATATCATTTAATAATCACCTAAGTAGGGTTCATCTTGTCTATTTGTATATTTATTATTAGATGATGACACCTCGTGTCAATGATGGTGACACTTCGTTTCTATTTGTAGATTTATTATTAAATTGTGACACCTAATTTCTCTTTTGAATTTGTACTCTGAAATATTTTAAGATTTTATTTTGTATCTTTAAAAATTAAATTTTTTACATTGCACCCTTAGTGTAACAAAAGTATTACAATGTAACCCTTATATTAGTTTCTGTTATTTTTTTCTTCAAAATCCAACTCATTAAAAATAGCAAAAAAAACTAACAGAAAGTCAATAAAAATGTCACATTGTAACACTTTTGATACATTGAGGGTGTAATATGAAAAAATTAATCTTGAAGATTATAAAATAAAAATTTTAAAATTTTTTAGGGTATAAAGTGTAATTTACCAACAAAAAAATTCAACACACAAAAACATTTAGCAGATACAATTTAAAAAAAAAAGTAATCCATGTAGGATTCGATGATATTTACTAGGTCTTGTTAGAGAATGGATCAAGTGGATTTTTCATTCATTTGAGGCCTATGGGTAGGGTTCTTTATTTCACGTAGGGACATTAAGTTTCTTAGATGGTGAATTACGACGGTTGACAAGAGATTAGGTTCATACAATAGGATATCAGTTAAATTTTTTACTATGAAGTTAGAAGTTTGAATTTTAGAGTCTATATTGAGATTCAGTAATTGATCGCTATATTAGTTTAATTAGGTTTATTTCTCAAAGGAGTAATAGACGTAATCAAAAATTTTATAATCATTTATTCAGATAGTTTCAAGATGCTCTCCTTTGTCTTGTCCCTTGAAAAAAAAACAAGCAAAACAGGAATTATAACAGTTGAAAGTCCAATTTTCAATGGTCCAAGAAGCTATGACAAAATAGATCAATGGAGACTTGTTGGTTTCCTAGATGGTAAATTGTATTAGTGGAAAGTTCAATATCCAGCAGTCCAAGAAGCTTTAAAAAAAGATTAAGTTTTAGTGAAGGCCCTATCTTTATAGTTGTTTTTTTTTTTTTGGATCAAATAATAAAAAGAGAGGCAACCAGTAGATAGTGATCTCTTTTGAGCATGACCATGAAGGTTTTTTTTTATGTGAAATGTTCGATTAACCATAGCTACAAATCCCTTTGAAGTAGCTTGTTAGACCACCACCGAAACCTAAATAACAAGATATGAAAACTCTGCAAGTCGAACACTGCTTAATAACCATTAAGGAGTCAAAAACGACTCTCAAAAAGGCATGTTTTACCAATAAGTCATTAGCTCTGATGGTTGATCATTACAGTTGTGATTTCCCCTTTAAAACCCTAATACCACAAAATCAGTCTACCCACAAAAGCAATTCTATATTACTCCTACCCATAAGCAACGCACATGAATGGTTTGTAGTCAAGTCTGTCTCCTTACAAGAAAAAAGTTTTAGATTCAATATTTCTCACACTTCTTAAAAGCTGGTCATCATTGTTCTTTACAGGGCATGTTCTTATACTATCTTGAGTTACAATGGCCAATTTTAAAATTTGAAGGAATAGTCGGCACGAACCTAAACACTGTAACCAAAAAAGACAGAAAGAATGATATTGCACTTGTAACGAAAACCAGAAGTTTAACTTTAAACACTATTGGGCTTTACATGAGTGAAGGGCCGAACAATCACACCAGATTATTCCCTTGTCATTTTAAGATACTGATATCTACAAAGGAACTGAGGTCGTTTGATAACTGTTTTGTTTTTGCGTCTTCAAAAAATCAAAAATAGAGACAATTTTTTGTCTCTGTTTTGTGGTAAACACTGAAATAGAAAACATGTTTGGTAGTTATTTTTCTCTATCAAATTATGAGAATAAAAACAGAAAATATGTTTGGTAACTACCTCAAGTTTTATCCTAAATATGTTTTATATTATCTCATTTTTTGTTTTCAAACAAATCAACGCTTTATTTCATGAAAAATGATTTACAATCATGAATTCAAATAGACATTATTATTTTATTTTTTTTTAAGAAAAGAGAAATTTTATTGCATAAAGTTCAATCATTACATAAATCAAAATCATGAATTGTCCTAGCAACGGTAAAACTGTAACATAAAAACTGTTACAAAAATCAGTTTTTCTGTTGTATAACAGAAAGCAACCAGCATATTTCCTGTACTACTGATGCATTTCTGAAGCTGCAGAATTTTGCCAGCTGAAAATCTCCATCACTGGATAAAACCTCCAGCTGCAATAGACTGCATCAGCCACATACTGCAACCTAGCAAAATTGCAGCAGCTACCATCAATGGAAAGACAATGAACATCTTGAGCACAGCGTCATCTTTGCATAGCAGCATCAGCACAAAAGAATTTTAAAAATTCTATTTACAAGGAGTTGGCTTTAATCCTTAAAAATAGGTAAGTATTTGCTAAACGAGCTTGTAATATGGTGGCTCCTAAGTCCTAACCTTTTCCTGAAGGCTGACATGGAATAAGAAATTAATGAAGAGAGAAGCAAGTCAATTCCCTTGAAGGTAGAACTTGAAGGTAAAAACAAGAATAGCAGCGTAACTTATATAAATGGGAAAATAGTATAACAGCTTTCCCAAATTGCAAATTAGTGAAAGGAATTTAATTCACCCAAATCATCCCCATATATAACCGAAAGAGGTCTAAGCCCAAATGCATGGTAGTTATGTCTTATGCAACTCATGAGATTAAGGATCTACACTGCATACTGTATGAAACAGGATAAAGAAATAAAAAAATACCTTTAGTGAACCAACAGTTGCAGTTTCTGGTACTTCAATGTAAAGCTCTGGCACCTTGAAGGATTTGATGCTAAACTTCACTGAGTGAAAAAACATAACACATGTAAGTAACTCATTGAAGCCACAGCAACAACTTAGTCAAATAAATAACAATTTCACCACCATGTGAATTATTGGAGTGAAAAGATGCTTGAAGGCCTTTAGTAGAAGATGGCAATCCTCTTGCTGCACAAAAAACCAAAAAAATATCATTTAGGAAACCTGTGGAATACCAAGAATATTTAAACCCAAACATCAAAGAGAAGCAAGAACCTCGGTGAAAGAATGCAGCTGAAGCACTTTTGGCTCCCATTATGTTCTTCTTGGGTGAATTACATATGCTTTCACTACTAGCCTCCTGATTATACATAACTCTTGAGCTATGGTCAAACAATTTCCTCCTCTTAGAAGGAGCTTCATGTTGACATCTTTCAAGTGTGTAAATGGCTTTCCTACTGCGGTATATGGGCTTTGTTCCCCGATCTAAAGATGCCAAAATAACTGAATTTAAGGCAAGAAATTTTCATAAAGTTGAACTTATATGCAAATGAACTGTAAAACTTCAAATTTACTATACTCCCACCAAAAAGTTAGAGCCATCACTTACCAATGTTAGAAATTTCATAATCCTTCAATTTTGGAGCTACTTTCCAGTATTTAGTTGTCAGCATCTTCCTTATTCGTCGGTATCCAATACGTGTTTGCGGCCTCAAGGCCCGTTTCTTGGTGCTAGATTCGTTGCACCTAAAAGAATTTTCATCATCATCTCTACTACCTAACTTTACAATATTATTAACATAAACCAGCCCCAATTTCAAATTTATATTGAATTAAAAAAAATAAGACAAAATACAGATTTTTTCCAAACATACCTTAATCAGTAGATGCAACTCTATAAACACAAAGTGAAGCAGAGGGATACAACACAAATATAAATAATACGATTAAAGCACAAACATCAATGTGCTCTGTAATACCCTAATGATAAATCAATAATGAAATCTACATACAAATATACAGGTCTATGTATATTGTGGTGAAAAAAAATATAAATAAAAAAAATACAATTAGGGTATGTAATGTACAGATCTATATAGATTTATGCATATATATACATATTTATGTATATATATATCTATATTTATACAAGTAAAGGAATTACTTACCTTCTTCGTTTTTGGCTGTGGGTCTTCTTCGTGTGAGTCAAGTCAACATTTTGTCTTCATCTGTCGATTTATGACCGGAAGAGAGATAGTGGCTGAGAGAGCTCTGGGGAAGAGAGACGTACTAAGAGAGAGTCGCCACTTACCTTCACAGAAGAGACAGTGGCAGAGGGGTTCGAAGGGAGTGATATGTGAGGACGAAAATGAAAAAACATATCCCATATTTATACTCTCTCATATGAAATGGGATTTTGTAGCTATCAAGACTCGAAGGCAAAACCTCATTTAAACAAAAAATGCGTGTTTTCTGGAAACAAAAAATTTTTGTTTCCATTTTTTTGTCATTCTCTCCGATACAATGAAAACAAAACAAAACTAAAAACAGTTCACAAACGTATTTTATTTTCATTTTTTACAAAAATTCAAAACAAAAACAAAAAACACAGGACAAAAAGAAAACAAACAACCCTAAGCTTTTAGTCTCCATATCTTTCAACCACCGAAAGCATTTGATTCCAGTACACCTTGTGATTATGAAACTTAATGGTCTACATACATTAAAATATAATCAACTATTATGTACAAAACACATTTATTTTTATCGTGGTTAAAATATTTACTCAGGTTAAAAAGAAAGTATGTTTTGGTTAAAATGTCAAACATAAGTAAGCATACTTAGTTACTTAGTGTGATTCAAAGGTTAAATTTTATGGTTCGTAAGATAAACTATTAGATTTAAACAATCTAAATCATTATTGTGCATATTTAAAAAAGTTCTTATTATATTATATAGATGTTAAATATTGATAGGCAATTTTACTTGTTGATCATTTTCTATGTTGTGAAAGAGAAAACAACCATCTTTTTCTTCATTTTTTTTTTGGTCGGTTTTACAGTCAGAAGTGTCCGAGTCAATCCTTTTTTCGATTCAGATAAAAATAGGTCATCCACGTCAGGATTAGAATGTTCATGAGAAATAAATCTCTCATAGTCTGACCTTCAGTAGTTGCCAAAATTCGAGCTCAGAACGTCTAAATTTACAATTTGTTCCTATTACCACTTGAGCTATCCTTTTAAGTTTTTTTCCCCTCTTTTGAAACACATTTTGGAATAAGAAGATTTTCAAATGTTCTTTACTTTTAGATAAATTATAATAGGAACTTTTTCTGGAATTTACTTTCTGATCATACTCACTTTGCTGGATGCAACTAGCAGCGAGTGCAAGAAAGATTACTAGAACAGATAAAATCTACTATAAAGTATTATATTTGCATCTTTGATGTATTTTCCATCCGTTACGCGAATAATTAAAGACCAATTGGGATTCTGAATATATGCCTGTATCCCACCTGAAATTTATTTGAGAGAGATGCCTACAGATCATATTCTCCAATTATCTGATGATATAAGACAAAACTTTAGGAAGCATAACTATTTAAAAACATACCTGAACCCTTCGCCATTAGTAGGCATGGCAGCGGATTAGGATAAAAATAAATATTTGTCCAAACTCGTCTCTTTTAGATCGAGAATAGATCATATGTATTGAACGGTAAACGTATACGAAAATATCTATATAAACCCGTGTGGGGATAGAGATTGTGATGAACTGAAACTCATTGTTGCCACACCCCACCCGTGTATATATATATATATAGTGAAACTCATATTTGTTAAACATATTAATTTTGTAAGTTTGTATGTTTGATTCATTTATTATATAATGAGTTTTTATCTTTCTTGTAAATTCATTTGTGAGGTTTTATGTTTTTTTTTTTATATTTTTTTCTTAAAATCATAGGAATTAATTGTTATAGATGAGGACGGTGACAGGAACGAGGACCGGAATCAAATTATGTCTGCGGGATAGAGACGGGGACAAGGATCAAAATATACCTACGGGACTGGGACGAGGATGGACAAATATTTTTGAATCGAGGATGGGCTCCCCCCCGCCCTCTCCCTCAGTCGGCTGCCATCCCTAGCCATTAGTATATAATTCTTATCATTTCAAATTATTTATTTATTTTGTGTGGTAGGAGAGCTCTACTGTCTACATGAATTACCTCTCTCGATTTGTTTATGAAAAAGATACACGAGAAATAGACACACGATTTTTTAGTCACTTTTAACGATAATCAACACGTTATAATTTTTATTGTCTGATCTCATTTTTCTATTCACGCTTTCCATGCATCAGTTTTCTTGATGTGAGCTTTCTGATGCAGCTCTGCAACATTGATGATATTTACTTAAATCCTAATCCACTTTTTTGAATCGATGATTGGCATGCCCATTTTTCCCTCTTTTTGTTTGATATATCCTTCTCTCGCACTCAAGCACTTCACCTTATATACATTATCAACTTGTCTAGCCGCGGAATGCAAATCAAGCACCCGATGTGATGCAAATTGTATAGCCGCACAATACTTGAATCGATGGGATTAATATCAGGGTGATTTGGGTTGATCAAAAATGAATTGATTTATTCGGTGTCACTTTCACATATGGGTTTTCAAACAACCCATGTCGAGTCAACAACGGCGGAACAAAATGAAGTCATTATACTTCTATTGTCCTACGTGATGACCTAGGGTGGATTTTAGGCAAATTCCTTCGTTTAGGCACTGAAAAGCACGCTGTTGTTATTTTTGGTGATATTTTATAGTTGAATAACTTTAAGTGCACAAATTCAAGGGTTTAGTTTCGTTATCTCTTTTGGTTCATTATACCCATATTTGTACCCCACTTCCCCTGCATCACAATGCAACTGCAACTAGATCTCCAGTCCAGAGGCAGCTTCATGAGCAGTTAGAGCCATTAATCCTGTTTCCAGAGACGAATCCTAGATTTAGGCCTCGGGGATGAACTCTTTCAACAGGTCATCAAGGGCCAAGAAATTGACTAATTTTAGAAGTAAAAAATTTGAATTATATTGCTGCTAAGAAACCAATGAGTAATGATTTTAAACTAGACAGTTATCATATGACACATGATCTAAAGTCAGCATCTTCACTTTCTGACATGCCTGAAACTCTGGTTGATGTTTCTGTTCATGTAAGGACATGATCCTAAATCGAAAACTACCCTTTCATCAAAGAAAATGAGAATGACCCTATAATTTGATTGCTGGCTTAGAATTCAATAATTCCAAGCCTCTCTGACATTCATCGACACAAAAAACAGCTTGATCAATCCAGCACATCCCTGGGTTGATCATAGTCCAGTCCCACACAATTTTGCTTCAAAAATTTAGTTTCAAAGCATCTAGATTTATCCAACATATCCTGGATTGATCAATCCATCCTTGCATATTTTACGAAAGTCTTGAATTTTAAACTTCTCCCTCGACCTTAAAAGTTATGGAGTGGTGATCGGAATGCAAATGAGTCCACCTTCAACTTAGTCTTTATACAACAATCTAACCCAAACTCCAAAAGTAACATTTTTTAGACTCGAGGTCAAGATGGAAGAGGTGAGATAAAATTGCCACGTTCATTTACTTTGTCCCATGTCGCATGATGGTGCAAAAAACATTGTCCCAATTGACAAGGGGCCTCCTCACCTTGCTCAATACCTGAGCTTGAACCTCATCCCCCCCCCCCCCCCTTCTTTTCTCTCTCAAGTTGCCTACATTGTGATAGTTGTTTGTTTTTTTTAAATGGATTAGCAAAAAACAATGTATGCTGGCTTGAGATCCTGTCACAGCTAAGGTCTCAAGTTGAGCTGGTAGGTCAAAGCTGAATCTGAGCCAACTCAGGCAATGGATAAAATGTAGGCTGAAATTGTTTTACATTCGATTTATTCTAAGTATGATCTGGCATGTTAACAAGAAAGAAAAGAACAGAAATGTAGTAGTCATCAAAGGTACAAGGTCATTGTCAAGCATTGTAATTAGAAAAACCTCAACAATGTTTAACATAATACAACTTGTATTAACCTGTTTTTGTTGGCTTTTAGTTGTCACTCTTTAGGAAAGGCACAATAATCTTGTTCATTGCTTGATCTTTGAACTTCTATTAAGACTGTTTCATTTATAACTTTGGGACACACACTGTAAATATGCCTATCAAAGAAATGGAAAAGGAAGTTGACTTTTTTTTTTCAGTAACTTCCATCTATACCTCCTGTATATTGACTTTTTGACCAATAAAGTGACCCAAGAACACAAAATTATAGTCCCTGGGACATAAAAATCAATCTTTGTCTATTGAAAGATTTATCCATAAACCTCCTGCTTCGAGAATCTTGAGAGAATCAATGGTGATCAACTAAGCTAGACTCGATTTTTCCAGTCATCTTCAATGCTTATGTTTACAAAGGAACCAATATATAATTTTTTAGCCTCTATACCTTTCAAAACCGAATGCATTTGATTCCTACACACCTTACGATGGTGACATACTGGCATTTCATGCACCTATTCACAAATGTAATCTTGTTTATTAGACAAACAATACTACAAACATTAATCAATATTTATAATGATTAGCATTTTTTTAATTTTCATCTCAACACCAATGGTTAATGTTAGTTCTCGGAAATCCCAAGGCAGAGGTTATGAAATTAACTGGTTGTCATAGTCCACAATGTACCTACACAGATGGGAATGCAAGGTGTTGTTGGCATTATCAATAGAGCTTGATAGAAAAGGTTATTCAATATGCAATGGAAAAGGTTATTCAATATTCAATATGTGTTAAAGGCAGCACAGACACAAGGGTAAAAATGTTAATTGAGATTGATTGGACTAAGGGCATTAATATTCCTCACGATGATATACGAACTTGATAGAAAATTAGTAGTTTATGGTGGTCGAATAACACAAAAATAAACGCGATAGATCAGTGTCAAAATGTGAATAAACCCGACTGTAACCGGATAAACCAATTTAACTGATATAGTACAAATGTAAAGATAGGGGTTTTCTTTGTAAATGAGGGGAAATATATATGGGTTTTTCTATATTTTTTGAACAGGTTAATATAAATCATTGTGAAGTTAATAGATTTTTTTATTTAGGTTTGCTAGCATATGAATCGTGCAGATTTTCCGTTTATGAAATTAGTACTCAAAGTGGTTTAATCTTAACCCCGATTTATTAAGATTAACTAGAACTCGATTCGAATCAGAAATAGCATAATCTACACACGTGACTAGATTGATCATCCCAAAAAAGTGCACCAAATGATCATCCAACTTGATTGAGAGGAGGTACTAGTTATGGATATAACAGATAACAATCTTAGGCATCTATACTTTTATTGTTAAACCACCCGAACTATTCTAGGAATTGCTTTTCTGTTTTGCAAAAGTGAAATAAAACTTCTTTTTTCTCTTTTTCATTTCAAACACGTTTTTGGAATCGAAAGGTTTCCAGACCATACTGGTTTGAAGATATATTTATCATAGGAACTTATCAGGTTATTTTTTACTCTGCCTGATACAACTAGCTATTGGCAAGAAAGATGAGATGACTCATGTAGATAGGACTCGGCCTAGATTATGTGTTTCGTACCTTGACGCGTTTTTTTATACGTAACAAGAATAAAAAGAGATCAGTTGGAGTTAATGAATATATTCCAGTATCCCACATGAAATTATTAGGTAAGAGATGCCCATAATCATATTCTCCAATTGTCTGATGACAAAAAACAAAATTTTAGGTATCATAATGAAAAACAGAACCATATCCTTTGTCTTTCAAATGGTAGTCCTCTCATTTCATTTTTTTTTTCCCCGGGTCTGGTATTTTTCATTGAGGGAGGGGGAGATGTGTCATTAGGAGAGACTTGGTATGTTGATGAAAATGACAAAATTATATTAACATAGTTGTGTCCTTGGGAGAGAATTTTCTTTGTTTCTTAATGTTTTGGCCCTTGGTTTTGTCAAATGGTTCATTGCAATCTATATAAGGAATAACTAAAGGCTGGCTTAACATAGTTGACATATCCATGAATCTTATATCTGAAGTCTTGAAGAATATAGGAAGAATTTTATGTAAGGTATTTGAATTCAATGTTACTGTTCCCTTGTCATTGATTCTGCGTGTATTTTGCGTATTTTGATGCAGTTTTGATTGTTATTATTCAAGAAAATTGAACAGAGTTCACCTTTTGTTGCTTGCAGTTTTTATCTTTTTTTGCAATGAACACTCAGAAGATCAGTTGCAAAGAACAAATACATCACCCTTGGCTTGTAAATGATTATATTTCAGAGTATTCTAGCCATTCTCCCCAATTTTCTCAACCTCCTCATCACATGGGACTTTTCTTTCAGTCACCGGCTATGGAGGAAGGCTCGAAACAAGAAAACTGCTGGCATGTCGACTCATCAAGCACCATTATCAGTCATATAGGATCACCTGCTTCTGCTTTTTATGCAACCGAACGCTACATGGGTTTTCCTCAATATGATTACCAAGCTGGCAGTCACAACTTTTCTCCCCAGCAGTCGAAAATTTGTGATCTGCAAATCCCGTCTTATCAACAATCTGGAGATGGATTCTGTGCAGGTTCACCAGAGCAAGCTCAACAAAACTTTCAATGCAAAAGTGCCCCACAAAATCAATACTGCGGTTCTTCTGAAAGATCCTATGAACTTCCACGCATCAGCCTCTCAGAAAATGACCGCATTTTGCAGCTGAAACGTAAATTACTAGATGATTTTGATACTCCAGATAGCAGGCAGCCCTCAATCCCTCTTCATAGAAATCAGGATCATAGTGTTAAGTATTTTACAATTCAAAAAAATTCTATTTTCATTGCTCTGATGCATTAAGTCATGCTCCCATGTCTAAAGTTATTCTGAGAGTGGTTGATTGTTCTCCTACACAGATCTCCCAGAACTTTTCTGGTTCTCAACTGGTTCATCAAAGGCAGTCTGTGGGACCTTCTGGAGGTGTTTCAGTTACTTCTGGCAATTTTGTTCCTTCTGGAACAGTTCAATCGAGCAAAACACGAATTAGATGGACACAAGATCTTCATGATCAGTTTGTTGAGTGTGTAAATCATCTTGGTGGTGCTGACAGTAAGCAATTTAATTTGAGCTTTTATCTGTTCTAGAGAAAATACCATGATTGATTTTTTTTTTTCTCTCTGTTATCTGTTTTAGGAGCAACACCAAAAGCAATACTGAACCTAATGGCCTCAGAGGGATTGACCATTTTTCATGTTAAAAGCCATTTGCAGGTAACAAAGGCATCTAACCAAACTTGGTTGTTTTATCCCTGCTTGGTATTCTCTCTATAGAAATATGACCCGACTGTTTCTCCTTTTGTTCATCAATCTGTTTTGTAGAAATATCGATCAATTGCAAAGCACATGCCCGAATCTGCAGAAGGTAATCTTTTGTTAAATTTCTTGTCATGGTTATTGAACAATTATTGATGTACTTGGGTCATTTCACCTCTTTTTTCTCATCTGTACTCTTTTCATTTCTCCTTTTCTATGTTGCAATAAGAAATAAACATGAATAGCACTCGACCTTAAGGGAATATCCATCCTTCATTGCTGATTGTCATCCCATAAATGGGGTGTTTGTGTTTCTCCCTCAAGGACACCATCACTTTGTCAAACTGCTTCATGGTAGTCAATACTTTCGTGGGCGTTGGTGACTTCACAATTCGTAAGAACAAGATGATTTGTTTTCCTCGAAAAAGTACTGCTATGCACAGGCACATCACTTCTTACGTAATCAAGATCTTTTAACGAGCATTTTTTTCTTAACTGCACAAATTCCTGTCCATGTACTATTTTGTGGAGATGACCTTTCTCGGCTGTAATCGCTTGTCATGAGACACGAGTATTTCATAGGTTTTGTCAAATTCCTCAATTTATTTGGCACTCGTAAATATTGATCTACCAAGTTCAGTTATAGCATCTGGTCTTAACTTTTTTATCTATCACAGGAAAATCTGAGAAAGCAAATAATGTACCACAGATAGACAGTAAAATGTAAGTCTTCCAATGCAGCTCTCCAGTGTTGATCACATAATTTAAATCCCAGTCCACTTTTTAAACCAAGTGTTGGAATGCACATTCCCCAATTTTGATTTGATTAAATCCTACTTTCTCACTCAAACACTTCATCTCACACTATCAACTTGCCTAGCAGTGGTATGCAAATCACAGAGGCGCTGCAACTGCAACTTGATGTCCAGAGGCGACTTCATGAGCAGCTAGAGGTATTGATTTAACTCTCCAATAAAGATTACTTTTAAATAGTTCCACCGCCACTAAAAAAAAAAAAGGATAAAAAAGGGGAAAAAAATTCAAGATCATGGTCTCGACGAGTAGGAGCCAAAAATTCTGTTTCCTGGGACTGATCCTAGATTTGGGCCCAGAAGATGAAGTCTTTCATTAAGTCTTCAGGGGAGTATTTAGTAATTATTAAGTAGTTTGGGGTTGAACTCCTTGCAATTGTGAAGATAACTTCATACCAAGAGATTTTTCAAACCTTAATGGAGGATCACCCCCATTTACCCTCTCCACCCCAACCAGCCCAAAAAATAATAGGAAATAACAATCCGTGGTTGCTGTTCTACTAGTTTGAATCACTGCAGACTGACACTTACAAATTTTCCTTCACAAGTATTCTTTCTACATTGGTCAAGCAGTCGTAAAATTTTCATATTCTCGCCTCAAAATGATCTGGTAACTTAATAACCGGAAATGATCAACTACATGAACTGAGAAGATGAATCAAAACACATGGAACTATCATTCTTTTAGAGTGGTGCACCAGAGCTTCACTGTTCCCAACATGAAAAATGAATATCATAGTCTAATGCATCTCAAGAACTGTCCTGGTAATGTCATTCTCTCTCTCTCTCTCTTTCTGTTCAATAAGTATTAAACACAACAGTTTTCACCTGCTTTTGATCCTATTGTTCAATAATTTGTTTTTAGTTACTGACATATCGCGCATTTTTTGGGGTCAGATTCAGCGGACTTTACAGTTGAGGATCGAAGAACAAGGAAAGCAGCTGAAAATGATGTTCGACCAGCAACACAAAACGAATAAGAGCCTCTTTGCAACTCACACTTCGAATATGGAGCCTCCTGATGATCTCTCAATTAGCCCTGAGGATGTTCAGGCTTTGATTTTGGAAGTTCCTGAAAATACCACTTCCCATCTAAAATAAGTCAGTGACCACAGGCACATGATTTTGATCTTTTTTCAAGTGTATTCACAATGATGAATAGCTCATTTGCTGCAAAACATCAAGAAAATGAGCAAAAACATCAAGAACCACACTTACCTACCAGTTTTTTTTTTGGGTGTATACTTGGAATTGCTGATCCGTTAAGGAAAGAAAGGGCATGTATTTACTTAATTTCAAATGAAAACAACTGAGTGCAGTTTCACACAATACCACATAGAATTTATGTGATACCATATGGGGTATTGGAATGGTCTTGAGTGTGTTCAATTGGAGTTCTAGTGGCTATATTACAAGAATGACATATGATTGGCTTATTTATACCCCATGTATGCTTGGCATTTGCCCTTCTAGTTTGGTGTTTTTTTTCGGTCATCATTATGTTAATTTTACCAATGTTAGTTCCTAAAATATTCAATTGGTGTTTAAATGATCTCTACTTGGAGTTATAGATGGCCCGTTAAATTCTGCGACGGAAGTTATTCACAAAGAGGCTTTCATATTATTAGTTGTAGTTGGCACTCATCCTGCCTAGCAAGGAGTTTATCAATTGAAGTATTTCAATATGAGTGAAGTTTTGTTCTGTTTCATATCAAGTAGGGACCCTCAGTGAATTGATTTTATGTATGTCTGAAATATAAATCTTACACTAAAGTAGTACGAGTACATAAGTGTGTCTATAATCTAACCACCAAATTTATGATGTATTTGTGTCATTTCTTAAAGTATATTCAACCTTGACTCAAATTTGAGTCAATATATGAGTAAAAAAATTGATTTGATATAAAGTTCTTCAATAGAAAATTTTAAATTTAAAGAATGATAAACACAAATTTAAAAGAGAGTGAAATATAATCATCGAATCGTTAAAGAAAAATAAAATCTGGTTGTTAGTGATTTAAATAAAGATTTGAATCTCCTTTAATTTGAGTAAAAATTTGACTCTCTTTTAATTTAGTATGAGTTTGGATAGAAGATTAGAGAAAATTTTAGGTCTAGAAAAATATAAAGTCTGGATATGCTCAGAGCATTTCCAAGAGATGAGTTAAAGTATACAAAAACTTCAAAATTTAACTATTTAACCCTAAAATTTCACTCTAACAAAACATCTCCAGAGCATCTAAAATAATATTTTTGTACAGTGATTCTCTATATTTAAAGTGGCACTATATCAACTTGTAAAAATATTTTATAATATTTTTGTCTCTTCCTTTCTTTTATTCATTCTCTTTCTCTCTCCTTCCCTCTCCATACACCCAAAAAAAAATATAATACAAAAAATATTGAGAAATAATATTTAAAGGAAGTGGTTAAAAAAATAGAAAATTTGTTGAAGTGTATTGAAAAAAAATTAGAAGTTAAAATAAAAAATATTATTTTTTGAGTAGCTAAACTAACTTTTGTTGTTGGAGATGCTCTTAAATATTAGTATTTTTTTTATTTTTGGTATTTTGGCAAAAATAAAAAGAAATGGGCAATGAACTCCTATTTTTAATATTTTATTTCAATGAAGTTCTAATTCGATTATATTTCAATTGTGTCATTACCCTTTAGTTACTAAAACTCTTTCATTCTTTTGCTTTCTTGGAATCAATTAATAAAATATTACAAATTCTACATCAATATTAATTTAAGCAAATTCTTACCAAAATTATATTTTATTTATATAATAAAGTAGAACGATTTTAAATTCAAAAGACAAAGAGTAGTTCAGATCATTTTGAGATAAAAAAATGCATTATCAAACGGCCGACGATATTTCAAATTGTCTCAAACTATTGATGTCTCAGATCGTTTCGATTTGACGTACCATATTAACTCTTGAAAATTTTTTGCCGTTCAAAATTTTTAGTTTCCAAAACTAACATCCCTAAATTTAATTCTCCAACTCAATCAAATTCGGCAATTAAACAATCTCTCATTCATCAACTGTCTTTCTCTCCCTAAAATACAGATTACAACTCTTATCATTATTTCTCTGATTTATATTTCCTACGCTAAGGGATCACTTTTTATACTAAGACATTGACTGTCTTTCACACTCTCATATTTCATGATTCTCTTTCCAAACTGAGACACATGTCTCCCCAAAATTCTATCCTAAAGCAGCTACTCTCCATCTTTACTGTTCATATCACACACACATCTTTACTGTATATATATATAGTACAAAGATCGAAGACAAATTATATCTACATGTTATATCTAGGGAAAGTTTCATCTAAACACCATGTAGTGGAGTATAAATTCAATGACAACCCCTATAACAATAATTTTTGCCTCTATCGGTAGATAAAATAATGATTTAACTAAATATTTTGTGAAAATACTAAAATTACCCTTTAATATGCAAATAGACTAAAATATCATCAATTCTTTTCTTATTATATATGCGTTAGACAGCCAACAAACATAATTTCAATTATTATATTATCCTAATAAATTTTTTATTTTAAAACGTTGTATTATAAATTTGTTATAATATTAGTCATCATATTATCACTCATTTGGTTACATAATCAAGTTTTTATAATTTTTATATTTTTTTATCATAATAATTTTTATAGTTAAAAATAATTTTTTTTATAATAAAAATTACAATTGATAAAGTCAATGTAAAAATCTCATCTATTTCTAATTCTTCTACTATCATATGTCCTTCACAACATCGCTCGACCACTCCTCACACATCATACTTCATAAATAAAATTTAAAATTATTTGATAAAATTTAATATTAATTGAATAAATTTGATCTTAATTTTGGTAAATTTAATATTAATTTAGTTTTAATTTGATAAAATTAAATATTAATTTAGTATTAATTTGATTGAATTTAATGTTAATTGAATAAATTTGAATGTTTTTTTAATAAAATTGAATGTTCATTTGGTGTTAAATTAAAGAAATGATATTAATTTGATAAGGTTAAATTTTAAATTAATGGAATTTAATATTCTATTTAATAAATTAAATAGTTTAATTTAATAAAATTGAATGTCAATTTAATGTTGATTTGATAAAAATAAATAATAACTTAATATTAAACTACAAAAATAATATTAATTTGACGAAATAAAATATTAAATTAATATAACTAAATGCTAATTTGATAAAATTAAATATCAATTTTGTGTTGATTTGATGAGATGAAATGTTAATTTAATTTAAATTAAATAAAAAAATTAATTTGATAAAATTGAATATTAAATTGATCAAAATAAAGGCTAATATAATAGAACTAAAATGAAGTGCACTAAAATTTTAGAATCAAGAGAGAGTGTTATTAAAGTTAGGTCTATTTAAAGGGAGTGTTGTTAAAGTTAAGTTTATTTATAAGTGGTGTAGATAAAATTTACCTTATAAAATACTTGAAGATATTTCTATAAATTAACCATCGTCATTAACGGTGTAACCCGACAATCACTAACAATGAGTGACAGTGAAATTTCAAAATCGAAAAGAGTTGTCATTGAATTTAGACCTAACTATTGGGGATCTTGATGAAATTTTTTCTTATATCTATACAAATCAATATAATAAAACAGATAGGAAGTTGATTTTTATCTCCTATACATTCTCCTCCCCCAAAACCATCACATCACTCATTTCTATCACATGCTCAACCATTTAATATTTGATTAATTTGTAAATTAACATAATTTTTATTTCAGATATTATCCATACACGATAGTATAGATCTGTTAAAAAAATTTATCGAATTACATATTTTGAGAAAATTTTGTCAATATCTTCAAAAAAATAATGGATAAAAATAAATTTTGAATGATTTAATCAAATAAATAAAGGAAATAAAAATTATTATTTAATATAGTGATATCGATATTTTAGAACTCGAATTTTTTGTTCTATCGTGCCTTCAGGCACGGGTTATGACTAGTTTATATAATAAAGTACAATACAATTCAAATTTTCAAAGATAAATATAATGACTTTTGTTTTTCGCGATTGAGATCTTTTTAAATTTTATTTTAAAGTTAATCTAATGGTTAATATTAACACCCTAAATTTAATAGAAAAAATAAACCTCTAAGGATGTGTTTGGGGTGACTTTTTAAAAGTGTTTTTACTACTTATAACATCTCATATGTACTTCAAAAAAAAATATATATATATATATAGTGTTTGAAACCGCTCCACCACCATTACCATTACCACCCCAACCACTACCACTTCCACCCACCACCACCTCTATCACAAGAACCACTACCACCACCAGTGCCGCCACTCCACCACCATACTCACCATTTCATCATCATCATCACTACTACCCGCCGCCCTTATTATCCCCATCGCCCCACCATCACTACCACAACCACCACCGCTACTGTCACCCCACCCTACCACCACTTCTGTCAAAACCACCAACACCGTCGTCACCGTTCCACCACCACTGCCATTGTCCTACCTCCACCAACCCACCCCACCCCACCCCACCACTATCTCTACCCACCACCAATTGCTACCACTGTCGTTCACTATCACCATTCACCACCACCTTTGTTGCCCACCACCACCCATTTCCACCCACTACCATAACCCACCATTATCCATCATCGTCAGCCACTGTCATTCATCCCCACCACACCTACCACCACCCGTCATCATCCACCACTGTCACCCACCCTACCACACCTACTATCACCACCACCGTCATTCGACACCACTCATCTCACTGTCGTTCAGAAGCACCCGTCATCACCCATCACCACCATTGTCAACGCCCCCATCACCATCGTCGTCCCCCCCACCACCACCACTATCAACCACCATTATCATCACCCACCACCACAACCGTTGTTACCCATAGTTGTCACTACTACCATTGTCACTCAAAAACCCATCACCACCATCACCGTTGCGACTCACGGTTGCCACCACCACGGTCGTCGCCACCTACTACAATTATCACCCTTTCCCACCACAACCATTGCTGCTGACCATCACTATCACTACTCACCTCTACTACAACAGGTACTTAACTTTCTTTCTCAATTTTTTTTATGATTAATTTTGGGTGTAATTATAAATATGTTTATTATTGTTCATTTTTTTATTACTCCGTACCTTCTGGCATGAAAAACAACTAGTTGATTTATATTGGATTTAAAATGATTTAAGTTTGGGATTTATTTTAGTTGTGTTTGAATCGATAACGACATTAAAATGAAATTAATCGAAAAATATTATTAATGTAGTTTTTTTTAACCTTTCTTATTTTATCAAATAATCGATAAAAATATTGTCTCAAGTTTTAAGATTAGGTACCCTAATGAGATAAGAAAATAAAAAAATGTGAGCTTTCTTTGAATCCTACTATGAAGTTTATGTTAACTAAATTTTTTTTATGGAGTTTCGATGTTAATTTTGTAAGTAAGTAATCTTTGTCCTCTTAATTGGTTTTAAGAATGTAAAAGAATGAAAGAGTTTTAATAAATAAAGGGTAAAGACAAAATTGAAATATAATGAAATTTATGATTTAATTGAAATAAAATATTAATAATAAGACTTCATTGATATAAAACAAAAAATGATATAACTTAATAGATTTGGGGGGTGGGGGGAAATAATATTTATTAATAATTTTTTCCTAAATAAGATCACTAAATTAGGTTTTAAAAAAACAATTTCCCAAAAGAAATAGGGTTGAAATGTTTTGTATTAGTTCAATTTTTGCTTTCCTAGGGCCACGTCACTAAATGTTTGGGAGAATTATATTCAAGTCCCTAAGGTTTGTCACTTAATTACTTAAATCATTGATATTTGAAATATTATACACAGTCTCCCTAAGATTTGTAGATGGATAACATTTATACTCATGTTGTAAATATATTCATTAATAAATTATACTTAGACTCCCTTGAAGTTTTTAGATATATAATACTTAGACCTCTTAAGTTTAAAATATTATACTTAGACAAAAAATACTTCAATCAAAGATAAAATATCAAATATTTTAAATTTTACAACTAAAATTCCTATTTTATTGTATCATTTATTGAAATAAAATTAAAATTAAATATTTAATTTTTTTCATAAAAAATTGTAATTAATATATAATTATATTATCTATTGAAATAAAACTGAAAAATCAAATAAAGGGTTTAAGTCATTCATAATAAAACATAAATTTTTTATCCAAAATTTATTTTCTATTATGTCATTTATTGAAATAAAATCACAAATAAAAAATTAATTTTTTTAAAAAAAATTATAATTAATATATAATTATACTATCTATTAGAATAAAACTAAAAAATTAAATAAGGGGTCAAACTGTAATTGACACAATATATTTTAGCTTTAATTGGAATAGTTTGATATTTTAATTTGGTCGTTTAAACGACCAAGTTAAATTCTAATAGACAATATAAGTATATACTAATTACAATTTTTTAAGAAAAATTAAATTTTTATTTTTGATATTATTTCAATAAAAGATAAATAGAACATAAATTTTAATCATAAAATTTAAAATATTTAATATTTTATCTTTGACTGAAGTATTTTTAGTCTAATTATAATATTTTAAACTTTAAAGGTTTAAATAAAATATGTTTACAAACTTCAGGGGGTCTAGTTGTAATTTATTAACCGATATATTTATAGTAAGGATCTAACACTCTTGTATAAACTTTAGAGGGTTTGTGTGAAATATTTTAAATATTAAAGGGTCTGAATAATTAAATAACAAACTTTAGGGGTGTAGGTGTAATTCTCTAAAAATGTTTTTTAAGATGACCATATTATCCCCCTTTAGAACCCTCCTTGTTCGAAAAACCCTTCCCGAACAACGGACCCTGTTACAATCTCCAAAAATGGCTGCCACTGAAGCAGCACCAGCTGAATAAAGGCAACAGGGAGAGTTCTAAAACTCTATCCTCAGAACCACAGTCACAAACCCATCAAAATTGAAGGTAAGCAATTAACTAAAGATCTTCTTCATGTAGCCTTATAGCTTAAAGTTGCTCTCTTTGGGGTTCTTTTCATTGATTCATTGCCTATCTCTACAAACTAGTTATGAACCATTTGCAGAGACTACGAAGACCATCTGTTCTCAAATTGGTGTCTTTAATTTTCGTTGAAAATTACGTTAGAGCATCAAAAACTACTATTTGGGCAGTTGGGTCATCTCATATTGTCCAAAACCCTAGATTTTATAGGACAAAAAAAGCTGAGAAATCTGAAAATGGTCAAAATTTAGATGAAACATCAACTACCGATAGCCGAATATCTCGTGCAGCCCGGCAAGAAGCCCAAGGTGCTTTGTTAGAGTACTTGCATTCAACTAGAAGTTTACAGTTCATGGATGCAGAGAACATGAGTCGAAACTCGCCAATTTTTGTTGAAAAGTTATTGAAAAATGTTGAGAAGGAAGAAAACATTGGGCGGTCTTTAGCCCGGTTCTTGCGTTATCATCCCATTAATGAGTTTGAACCTTTTTTTGAAAGTATGGGTCTGAAACCATCTGATTACTCGTCGCTTCTTCCACGGAACCTAATGTTTTTGAACGATGATGACATGCTGATGGAGAATTACCATGTTTTCTGTAATTATGGTATTGAGCGGAATAAGATAGGAAAGATTTACAAGGAAGCAACAGAGGTTTTTAGATATGCTGGTGGGGTTTTGCAATCAAAGCTTCAATCTTTTGAAGATCTAGGGTTGAGTCAGTCTACTGTGATCAAGGTTGTTGCTTCATGCCCTTATCTTTTGATTGGGAACATACATAAGGAATTTTCTATGGTTTTAGAAAAATTGAGAAGCGCGGGGATTGAATATGAATGGATTGAGAGGCATTTATTTGAGGGAAATTCTTATAATTGGAGCCATATGCTTGAACTTTTATCCATTTTTGGCAAAATGGGTTGCAGCAAGGAGGAATTGGGAGGAGTAATCAGTCAGCATCCGGGACTTCTATTTGAGGGCTCAGGAAGTACCTCCTCTACGCTAATTGGATTCTTGTTAAAATTTGGATCTTCGGTGAATGAGATACGTTCTCTGTTTCTGCAGTTCCCACAAATCCAAGTTTGGAAATTTGCTTGGAATTTGAGGAATTGCTATCATTTTCTGATTGAAATCGAGATGGATGTTCAAGATATTGGGAGGATTCTTCGGTTGTACAGTGCATTACTGGGTTTATGTTCTCTTAAGAAAGTTAACAGTGTGCTGGCTAATCTGAATACCGGGAAAAAGCGTGTTTGTGAAGTCATCAAGGAAAACCCACAAGTATTGAAGAATTGGGTTCTTGGATCAAGGGTCAAACCATTACCTGACTCTGGGGAAGCGCTTAGATCACAGATGATGAAGACTAAGTTCTTGTTGAGCTTGGGATTTGTTGAGAACTCGAGCAAAATGAGAAAAGCTCTCAGGGAGTTCCGAGGTAAAGGAGTGGAACTTCAGGAAAGATTTGATTGTTTAGTGAATTCTGGTTTGAACCATAAGGATGTCTCTGAGATGCTTAAAGTAGCTCCTCAAATTCTTAATCAATCCAAGGAAGTGATTGAGAAAAAGATTGATTATCTTGTAAATTGCTTGGGTTATCCTGTATCCTCGTTAATTGCATTTCCAGGGTATATTTCTTATACAATTCCGAGGGTCAGGCTTAGGTTTTCCATGTATAGCTGGCTCAAAGATCAAGGAACAGTGGATCCCAGATTGTCTTTGAGCACTATTCTTGCATGTTCAGATAAAATATTCATAAGGCAGTACGTAAATAGTCATCCTAAAGGCCCTGAAGTTTGGGAAAAGTTGAAGAAAGAGATATTATGATCAAAATGTGTCGATGACTTTGTAGATATATTAGCAAAGCTGGCTCAATGACACTTGTTTCGATACCTTCTATAACTGATTAAATTATCCCCCATGACTATTGAATTACGGTAAAATTGAGTCATTTTCTTTCAATTCAAGCTGCATTACCTGACCAATCTGTGACCAGGTAACTACGTTTTGAATTCTTAACAGGCAACTATGACATTTGATAGAACTTGATTCAATACCATGTTAATGAGCCCCTCTCCAGTTGTTTTTAATTATTAGTGTGATGTTTCTCTCTTTTTCCCCTTTGCTTGGGTGCTGGGTTTTCAAGTGTTGTTCTAAATGTTATCATTCAAGAAGTTCAGTGAATGATCACATTCTTAGTTTTTGAGCATTGTGTCCTCTTCAAACTACCTGATACAATAGCTATATGACCACACAGTGGCTGGTTCAATTTCTAAGGGACATCCTGGAACTCTTGAAAGTCAGTTTATAATTGTGCCGTAGTGAATGTTTGGTAATGTGCCGAATTGGTCTACCCAAGGTCTTGTCTTGTTTTAACTGGAAAACTCATTATCAGATGATCTAGAAGTAGAAACAAAAAAAACTTGCTTAGAAACAGACTGATTTTGTGCCTTACTTGTGCAGACTCGAACACATCTGGAACAAAGAAACATTACCAGACACAGGACCAGCTTAAAACTAGCTAGCCGTGCACTAAACTATGGAGAAAAGTGGAGAAATCAGAGATTTTTCGATAATAATTTGGTGGACCAAGAGCTGTCTTGGCTTGTATGCAGAATGATGTTTTGAAAATGCATCAGAGTGATATAAAATCGGTTTTAAGTCAAAGGGGATTAGAAAATAATTCTACTACAACTCTATGATGTGGACAGTAATGTTATCTTGTTATTTATGTAACTCACCATTTGGTGCATCAAGTTCATGATCGTAAACAAGTCATTTTTGTGTAATCCAATTTTTCCCGAACAAAATATATCACCTGGAGTCTGCAGTAACCTAATAACTGAGAAGTTCAAAACAGCAAGCTTCCCGGGCTTGGATCATGGTTGAACCTCTTCACCACATCAGAAAAGATAGTCCAAGATTCCTTCAGATAAATTGCCAATTACAGATAGCCAAGTTGATAGGGTTTTTGGGTCCAAGGTTATCTTCTTCTCAGTACAGAATGTTCTTATTGAAAACTTATTTCTATGTGATGTATCTGATTAATTTGTTGTCTGACAGTTTCGTAGTTTGTAGTTTACTTCAACTTCTTAGATTGTCTGCTATATTGGAAACTTTGTGTGCCATAATTTTGCTATATGTCTCTGAAGCAGAACTGCATGCTCCTGGTCACTTTCTTCCTTTGGTCCATGAGATATTTTCCTCTGTACAATCAGTCTGTAGCAGTAGATGGCAGCACACTCGGTGACATTATGTGACCAGTTATCAGGCCATGGAAGAGTTCCATATGGCCATATTCCAACAGAATTGGACTATAGCTATTTTGTTTGTTCATTCCAGTATGAAGATTCTTGCATCATGTCATGAAGGTCAACAACGCATTTTCATTTTCTTTTTTCACCACATTTATCTGACTCAACCATGCACTTATAATACTTTTTCATTTGCATTTTCCTTGCCCACCATCTTGTGACAGGCGGTCTTCATTTGTGTGGATGCCAAGTTTTAAGGAGACAAAGTTGTTGCTGCAAAGCAGATAAACTGGTCTGTGTTTCGTTGAGTATGTTATGAATCTTGTTGAAGAGACAAACTCTACATGGAGACAGCTTCTATTAAGGGCAGATGAACCTTGTTGATAAGATTTCTATGCTCATTTTGGTAGGGAGTGGAGTGTTTGAAATAGGCTTTACAATACCTTTGTATTGATGTCTCAACCATCACCGTGCTTCCTCGGCTATACAAATGCATACACACGCAGGTACCCATGGAGAGTGAGTGATGACATGATGAAAACGTGATGGTCTTCTCTTCATTTCATTACAATCTCCTTTTCATTGTCAGTTGAGATAGTATTTTTGTGTTTGATACAGAATCTCCTTGCAACATTAGCAAAGAAAAACATGATTTTTTTTCATCTTCTTTTCTAATCTTTGTTCAATGCACTATGCAGTGGAAAGATCAACAAAAAAAAGGGCATGTTATCGTGCATTAGGCTGCCCTTTTTTTGTTTCCCGCGATAAAATCCTGACTCTGCCCAACACAAACAGTGAGTTTTCAGATCAAATAGGCCTGTATTAACCTTGTTCTAGTCTCTCATTGTTGATAAAAAAAAGTAATCCATTGTCTTAGGGTAAGGCTGTTGGCACTAGTAACCTTTTGGAAAAGAAGCCAACTTGGTAGAAATAAATTTATCCACTTTTACTCTAGCTAAAAACTAGAATTATCCTGAACTGCTTTCACACCTAAGTAATTCAGGCCTTGTTCCGCCATGGTACAGGGGCAAGGGAAGTGTAGCCAGCGGTTCAGAAAAATTCTCCTTTTCGTACGTTTTGTAAGTAAGTTCGATACTAGAAGTTAAAAAAGATAGGCCAGGATACTACAATAGTGCAAGTAAAGTAATGTTCATTGCTGCGGTGAAACCATCAGTCGATGGATTTCTTTATTATTTTCATATTCGATGAATTTTATTTTTTAGACGTGATATCAGAATTCATTAAGAAATCTAATTTGAAAATCTAAACTGACCTGGTTAACTTAGTCAAGTTGAATTTTAATAAATAGTATTTGAATTTTAACTCAACTTTATCATAGTTTTGGATTGGATTATAAATGAATAAATATAATGTAATTTGATAGGATAGTACTATCGATTAAAAAAAATTATAGATATTAGTCAGTTTTAATTGTGATCAATTGTAAAATAATAAAATTTTATGTGTTGATTGTTAATCAGAGGAAATATAAAAATATAGTATTAAAAGATTATTTTTCGACAATATAATTAAACCCAATTAGATATAACAAATTGAAATTCGTTTTATTTATAAAGCTTATCATCTTAAGGTGGAATAATACCAGAACTATAGGCCTCAATAGTAATGCAATGGCACAAAAAATTATTGAAGTTTTATAATTGTTTATACACTAAATGTACAAAAAGATTTTAGACCTATTCATACACAAAATAATAGGGTAAAATACGCTAATAATGGAGTCAGATTATGAAGAATTTATTTCTTATGAATACGTTAATCCTGACATAGATGATTTATTTTTGACCCAATTAAGTTGAGATTAATTGAAATGAACGTAAATTGACTATGACAACTCTGACTGTTGAATAAAAAAAAATTATAACAAAAAGATATGAGACCTTTTTTTTTTTAGGACAAAATATGTTATGATTAGTCGAGGAGACAACAAAAACTTCCACAGCGAAAGTTGAAATCTTTCTTGATATGATGAAAATCTTCCCAAAAGCAGCAAAAATGGTTTGAGTTCCCGGGGTGGGGGGGCCTCCAACTGGGCACGTCGATTTAGTAGTTTCTGACCCTCTCTGTTGTCTGGACAAGTATCAATAATCATGGGAAAGTCAGTCTTTTTTTCTTTTTTTTTTAATATTATTTCTTGGTATCATATATATATATATATTTTTTTTTTCAAAAGTAAAAAGTGGTAAGTGTATCCAAAATTAGTATGCTGTCATTAACTCTTCTATTGACTCATATGTACCTATTGGTTATAAATGTAATAAAACAGAAAAAATAATGTAAAACATGTCAGTCTTTTTATTTTAAAAATAAAATTGTAAATTTATTATTTCCTAATATTATTGTTGGAAGCAATGTTACTTGAAACTAATTTACTGACCTAATCAATTATTGTCATTGATTTAATCGTAGAATAATGATATACAATTCAAATAGAAAACAAAAAATTATAATATAAATGTATATCAATTTTTTCAATGGGACTCACTCATACAAAAGATGATATACATTTGAATTATAATTTTTGAATTTCATTTAAGTTGTATAACATTTTTCTTAATTGTAAGTCTCAGTGATTAGCTACCGTGGTTTGAGCTGGTTTAGGACATGTCACCAAATAAACAAGGGTGGTTAACCTTTAGGGGGTGTGGAAAAAGAATGAATCTTAGACCTATCAAAGTACAAGCTCAACCACCTCTAAGTGTATGTTTGGATCGCGGGTTAAAGGTGAATAACTATGGTAGGATAAGATAAAAAAGCATATGTGATCCATAAATCTCACGTTTGATAAATAAAAAATTCATAAAAAAAATATTTCATCAACCCAACTAAAAAGTCAACTTTAACGCACCTACATGGATTAAATGAAACTCAAGGGGACTTATAACAACTGAGTGAGTTTAGATTGGCTAAAAAAAATAAATTTTTTAGATATTCAATCCACTCTAACCTTATCATCCAAAAATATCCTAGATTAAATATAATTGATTAAATCCGAATACCATATCACTATTTTAGATCCAAATAACATTTTAGTTGTTTAATGTTGAAACCAAACATGGTATGTGGTTTGCAGCATATACTGCCAACTGCTAAGGGACCTCTTAATGGGGGGGGGGGGGGGGGACCAAACCTCTTTAGGTCACTCGTACGGTTGCGGCTGTAACAGAAAGATGGTGTTCTGGACAAAGTAGTAGTTACTTGTACTAATCAATGCGGTGATTCATCCACTAAACCATTTTTAGATTTATGGATCCAATTAGAAGTGATTTCCCATGTTAGGAAACCATCAGTCAATCAACACCATGGGTTTCGTTTGGATTACCCCTGTCAACTGATTAAATTTAGATCGAATTTTTATTAATTTGAATTTAAATTCGATTTTAAAGTTTGTTCTAATTATTCGATGATTTTTTTTTCATGATTCATATCTGAATTAGTTAATAATCAAAATTAATCCGATCTCAATAACCTAAATTTAAACAATTGCATCAAAATTTAACTAATTTTATTCAACTAATTATTTAATTTTTTAAAATATTTAAATCGGATTATAATTGAATTGAATATAAGTATATTCAAATTTGAATTTGTTAAATATAAGATAACTGATTTGGGTTCAAATTATTGATAAAGTGTATCAATTTATATCTTGTTAATCAGATTCGAATCAAAATTTGATACATTACACATGCCTAGTTTTTATTGGTTGCTGTGTAATTTTGTGACTGATACAAATAATCTCAATCACCACTAAGTGGGGTAGTCTAGTGGGGTATCAATCAAATTTCTCACTCTAAAGTTGAAAGTTAGAGTTTTGGAGTTCACATTGAATTTTGGTGATTGACCATTATGTTATCTTAATTAATTTCGTTCCTAAGAAGAGTAACAGGTGCGATTAGAGACCTCATGATCCCACTAGTGAGGGTGGTCTTTAAACGCTTTCATTTGCTCCCACCCTTTTTTCTACGAGCAAAATAATAATAATAATTTCAATCACTTGTAACTTTATTTTTGAAAAGTGTAACTTAATTCATTATCAATCACAACATTTTAATGATCCATCACAACATTTTTATGGTCAATCAAGACTCTTTGAGTTGTAATTGAAGCATTCAAAAGCTTATAACTTGACCTTAAATCTTTATAATTCTCGGTATGTAATCTATCATTAAATATTTGAATCGATCATAAAGTATCTCAAATTTTTTAATTTCTCATTTACAAGGTATAATTTTAAGTTTAAGAATAATATTCTTTTAATAATCAATCATAATATTTTAAGACCGGACATAATTTTTACTTAGACTATTTTAAATTATAACCTATAAACTGAAAATTTTATTATTTGGTTTTTAAAGATTATAATTTTTGATACCTTTTTTTTGCTAGTTAAAAAAAAGGGGAGGACGATTAGTAGATAATAACCTTCGTAGGCCTGATCATGAGAGTCCCCCACTGTGAAATATTTAGTTTGAGTCATAGCTACTAATTCAAAAGGATAACTCGTCACCATAATACTACCAAAATTAAACGGTAAACCGCGTTACTCTCGTGAATTAAACTCTTATCGATAAACACATGAAAAATAAAAATGACCCTAAACAAGTATCACTTACCACCAGCTCGAATATTAATTTTTGATACTGTTATTTATACCGTAGTTAGGGGTGTTAAAATTTTCGATTAGTTGTAAATTTCGACCCTACTTATCCTACCTAACTCTATTGATCGACTATCCAAAAGAATTAGATAAAAATGCGGAATACTTACAAAATTTTTGTATTCCTATCCTACCCTATATATATATATATATGTTCATTTTAAAAATTAAAATCCAAAAAATTAGAAATCTTAATATTTTATTGACGTGTATGACTTTCTTATATATAATATATTGACGTTCATGACTTTTTTATTGTGTTTTATTATAATTGTTTATATATTATCAAATTTATTAAGTTTTCTTTAGTGTTAT